CCTGTGGATCTGTAGCCATGATGTAACTCCTTCTACTGGAAGGTAATTTTCATTCTGGGAAGATTCTTGTTAAGGGGTTGTAGCTAATAAACCTTGCTGGATTGATTCCGCATGGTCTCCTGGAGTTCCTTGGGCTAGGCCCGACAACAATCTTCCCAGAAACAAAATTACCTTCCAGTAGAAGGAGTTACATCATGGCTACAGATCCACAGGGAGCTAATTTGACCCCTCAGCTCTTGGGCGCTGCGCTACTACAACACCAGCAGCAAGTGGATGCACAGATTAATAACCTGCAAGTGGCTATGGGACAACTAATACAGCAAATTGGACCGGGAGCCCAGCCACCGCCGCCACCGCCGCCACCAGTGTTGCTACGCTCGCCTGGTAGCATGCCTGAGAAGTACGGAGGTGAGGTGGAACAGATGAGAGCACATTCTTTACTCCCCTCCCACCATTCCAGTCCATCACAGTCTTGTCTGCTTGGACAAGTCCCTGTAGCTTTCTTGGCAACAATTTTTGGAAGTGGTTTGCCCTGGCCTTCTCCTCCTTCCTAGGGCTGAGAGAGGGGGACTGGCCCAAGGTCACCCAGCTGGCTTCATGCCCAAGGCAGGACCAGAGCTCACGGTTTCCAGGTTTCCAGCCTGGTGCCTTCGCCACTACGCCAAACTGGCTCTCAACCTATTTCATGAGATCTCATTCATCTCTGGCATCTTCTGTGATAAGTGCATGCAGATGTCCCCCAGGCCCTCTGATCTAGGACAGAGCCTCTCTTACCTAAATAACCTATCTGTCCATGCTCCTCCTGCAGGAGCTGCCAGGCTGTCTGCTGAACAGGCTGCATCAGCCCCCACTTAGCTGCTTGCAAACGCACATCTGTTTCCTTGAGTCCCTGTAAAAAGGAGGAGACAGTCACCCCCTTCCCATCTGATTCCGCTGCAGAAAAAACAGGATTAAAGTAAACCTTCACACTCATTGCAAAACTTAGAATCGTTCAGCTTACAACCGTCCCTTTACGGATCAATGTTAATTCTAATGGGGCAACATTCTTTCTATCAACACTATTGGAGGTGGGAGGAATATCCTCTATTAGTTTCCCGCAAAGATGAGTTACACCGCACGGAGTATCACCGTACAGATTGTTTCCGGCAAAGCTGAATTACAATCTTTGGTTGCACTTTGATGTATTCCTGGGAACAAGCGCTCTTGAATCTTTCCCCAGTTTCACAATCCTGGGCTCTGCATCTCAAAAAGAGATTTCAGCAGCTCTCCAGAGATCAACTATAAACCAACCCTTAACTCACAATGTAAAAAGTTGTAATTCTGGTTAAAGCTAACCTAGATAGTTTGCTTAATCTAAGGCAGTGTTGCTCAACCCTGGCAACTTGAAGGTCCACACACCTTCAAGCTGCCAAGGCTGAGAAACATTGATCTAAGGGGTGCAAGGAGGTGAGCAGTCAAGCACGTGTTTTTTTCTGTCGAGTTATTGTTAATCCTTGGGTGCCGGGGTGGTGGTGATGATGGTGTTTTACGTTGTTGTTTTCTGTGTTTTTAATCCTTGTAAACCACCCAGAATCACCTGTGTGAAATGGGCAGCTACAGTATATATGAATGAATGAATGAATGAATGAATGAATGAATGAATGAATGAATGAATGAATGAATGAATGAATGTCTTTCTGCTGATGCTACATAGCCACAATTTGGCTCGCAGGAAATAGTTTCAGCAGAACATCACATACGTCAAGTAACCCAGCTGGAAGTCTTTCTTCTTCAAGAGGAAGCAAAGAGTTGATATGAGTTGAGGACTTGGTCATATTACCTGCAGGTGATAGAAAAGAGACCTTATAAGGCGAACCTGTTCTTGCCTCCACAACTTAAGTGGCTAATGTAAACCAGCAAGAGAGATCTCTCCTTTTTAGAGCAGTGAATAAGAAAAAAATATATTTACAAAGGCAACCTCTGATTCAGAACCAAGAAAATGTCTATCTTAAATCCCCCCCTCCTATTCTCTGCTCTCTACTTTCCTTTAGAGCTTTTCAAGTGTCCATTGAAAAGTACCCAGTGATTTTTCTCATGCTATTTCCTGCACAGCCTTGTTGGCGGCTGTTCCTCTGTCACGCTAGAGATGAGGTCAGTCATCCTGTGTACCCACAGAGAAGTTAAGGAGTTGGGTAGAACTGTTTTTCAATTCCCAAGCTTGTGAGAGTAGTCCTGCTGGATCAGACTAAGGCCCATCTTAGTCCACGGTTCTATTTCTTAGAGTCCAACCAGATGCCTTGACCGACAAGCAGGAGGTGGAGACGTACAAATAAGAAAATGGCCTGCCCTCCATGAATTTACAGCTGTCCAGGTTAGTGGCCATCATCACATCTTGTGGCGGGGAATTCCACAGGTTAATTCTGTGTAACGTGAAACAGTTTCACTGGCCGACCCCTGCCGAACTCAGCTCTTGCCAAGCGCATTCCAGGGATCTCAGAAAACGCTATTCAAATGAGGAGAAAACGTAGAAAGGTTGAATCCAAATCATACTACTGCTATGTGGGTAATCAGGGGCCTTACGCATCTGACGCGGTGCAAGGGTGCCGCAAATATTCAGCACCTTTTAGAAGCAGCTGGAGCAGCTTTTCTCTCTTGTGTAACAAGTTGTATTTTCCAAACTTTTCTCTTCCGTGTGTTGTGGCTAAGCCCTAGCGCCATCCATCTGGGTGACCTTCTTATTATTTATCCTTTCCTACTAAGCCAGCATGCTAGCAATACCATCTTTGAGATATGGTCAGTAAATATAAACAATGGTTTACTGGACCACTGGTCCCTATGTGAGACTTCCCCGTTTCCACTCAGGGCTAATTCAGGTTGCTGTGAATGTTTTCTTACAAGGGCACCTTAAACAGTTCACATGAATTAGGGGGGCATCTCATAGGCTTGGTAGTGAATGCAGCTTACGTGTGTGTGTGTGGGGGATATCTTTTACCCCCAAGGATGAGAGGGGTTCAAGGAGAGCAGGCTTGGTGTTAGCTTTTGAACACACTAGAAATGCAAGAACAGCCAGAGAATTCTTACCTGGCAGGCTGATCTCCACTTCAACATCTTCTCTCTTCACAGCCTCCAATGATTCTTCATCTACAGGTGAGACTTCACTGTACTTGTTTGGTGGCCCCTGACACAGGGAGGACACACCCATTCAGAGGAAAGACCCAGGTTTTGACACTATACACAATCTCAGCAGCTCCCGGATCCTCCTGAGGCTGTGCAAGATCAGTTCTGACCCAAGCTCAGCCTCTTCTCTAGGTGTGTCACAATGTCACCTCTACGCCCCAACCAGGCAGAGCTTACAGCACAATGTTACAATGCTGTCTTCATCCTTTTGAGGAAGGTCTTGGACATCACAACAGATAGGTTCAGCTGAGACCAGTGCTGAAAGCCAGATTTATATTATGAGTGGGTCTTGCTGGGTCTTCAGGAAATCCTCCAGTAGAACCACCACCTGGGAACATGTGTCTGGCCTTCGGGCTTGGATCCAGCTCTGGAGGTCAGACAGGAGGCTGGCCAGGAACTGCTCCAGGATCAGCAGCTCCAGGATCTGCTCCTTGGTGCGTTTCTCCGCCCTCAACCACTGGCAACAAAGCTCCTGGAGTTGGCTGTGGATCCGTCGGGGATCTCCCACCTCCTGGCAGCAGAACTGCCGAAAGTGCTGCCGCTGCGCCTCCGTTCTCAGGGCTTCCCCTCGCAAGATGGCGGCCTTGACCTTCCCGTAATCTTCTTGGTCTCTGGTTTCCAGGGTCTGGGACGCCCCTCTGACACCGCCGCC